TGCTCTGATTGCATGTTCAGTGCCATAAGCACCAAAGGCCAAGTGTAGATTAAGTATAATAAGATCCCTGGAGATCTTATCCAAAGTAACATGAACCAAGAAAGCAGAGTTCAGATAAGCAACAGCATTTCCAAGAGGTCGTGGGGCTGCTCGGTATGTTCCAAATAGTATATTGGCTTCCCTCGTAGGTTCTGAAACAATGCATCCATCAATTCCAGAAGATGACTCAATTGCTGAACTCCAAGAAGGAATATGTATGCTTACAAGTACAGTTCTGTCATCACATGGAGGCCTTTCTAAAAAACTCTCCAATGAAAGAACTAGCCTTTCTGAAGCCATCTGAAGGCAAACAGTTGATCCAGCAGCAAGAAGTATAGTAGCAACATCTGAGGCAAATTGGCTTCTTTGTGCCATAATTAGATTTCCTCCTAGGCTTGCCATATTTCTAATGAATGGTGAAGCCACCTTATCCATATGATCAGCAATCTTGCTGAAGACCAATCTTTTATTTGAGTGCAGCTCACTTTCTTTTCTTTCCTTCAGCACTTCAATGGCTCTAGATATCGTCACAGCAGCCCCAAATGAGATACCTTCACTATCCCTTCTGATTACTGATAGTTCTGGAATCCCTTTGAGATCAATATACTTATCATACAGGTCGTTTTCCTTGTAGACACCAGATCCTGTATTACCAACAACTAGTTTCACGCGACTTTTGCTGAATGAGTCAGAATTCAAAAGCTCATAGAGCTCTCTAATGCTGGACGGTCGATACCACTGACTCTCTGGCAAGCCTGCATTCTTGGAATTGTCCAAGATATCCACTGAGGACTTGATTTCAGATTTCAAGAACTCAGGAAATGTGCAGATTTTGCCTTGGTCGTGACAGGGTAACCTACCAACATTTGCATCTTTTGCCCCTTTTTTCCAGAATGTATTCAGACCCAAATCCTCCAAATCAACATCAGCAGCGAAGCTCTTGCAGACATCTGCAATGGGCCGATAGCCGGTGCATCTACAAAGATTGCCGGCAATAGCCTTTTCAGCCTCAAACTTTGTGATCTTTGAAAACCCACAAGGAGGCTCGGACCTGCTGGTCTTGTCCGCATTAACGAGGGCAGAAAAAAGTGACATGCACATACCAGGTGTGCAAAACCCGCACTGTGACGCATGAAATCCTGCAAACCTTTGGTGAATCGGATGGAAGCCATCCTTTGTATTTCCAAGCCCCTCAGAGGTTATAACAGAACAGAAATTTATACTGCAAAGAAGCGTCAAGCACGAGCTAACACTAAATTCTTTCAGTTGATCGCTAACTGGGTCGTATGTTGAAAGAAGAACAACACAAGCTCCACATCCACCTACTCGACAAAGTTACGGAAGTATGTTAAACTGGAGAAAAACCATCAAACCCAAGTTTTACAGCATGGAGAACTAAATTTAAGACATCACACAGAAATCTAGTCTATTTATGAAAAGAAATATATCCAAGTGAGCAACAGCCATAGACTGGTACATGCAAACAATATAGAGCTCTCCATTTGACTTTTGGAAGAAATGCTTAACTATTCTATCTCGAATGCAAATGAGGAACACACGAAGAAAACCAGATGATGATTCTGAGGACATAAATTGACAGGTAATTTCCCAATGAATTTCCAAAATATTTCAACAAACACATGAGGCAAGTGTTCTTAAATAGAATGACACTAAAAAGAAAAGAGAGAAGTTCCGCGACAAGACTTCAATCAATGAAGCAACTTAACTTTCCATGCACACGAATAACCCGTTCTAAAAACACCCCAAAGGCAGTGGCGAGACATTAAAAGTCAAAAGAAAGCATATATTTGGCGACAACTTTGGGAACATATTAGTAAACTTTGACTTAAACGAGCTACGTTGCAGCCCGCAAAGAAGCTATCAGAAACAGAATAAAAGATCAGACCACTGATATAAACAAGAAAAAGGAAATGACAGATATCCGAAGAATCCAACCTAATAACAAGTTCAATCCCCCCCTTAACACCACACAAAAATGGTAAAGTTCTTGATCAAACAGACCATAAGTCCATCAAAAAGAGGGGAAAAAAATTAAAATTTGCAGAAATAGCAGCCGAAACATCGAAGACATCCAAAAAAACATAGCAGAGATCAACAGAACTCTCGTCTTGTTCGAACACAAATCACCAAGCAGCCCAAAGGAACCACCTTTAGGAACCAACCCGGTATCCCCATCTCGACAGCCTAAACTTCACATAAATTTATCGAAACTCTCTAACAAAAATAAAATTAGCAGTCCAAACATCCGACAATCCAAATAAAATATCGGAAATCAAGAAAAAGGACCGAGAGGTCCACAACCAATTGTAAAATCTCGAAGCGAGAGCGAGGGGCTCACCTTCGCCGCATCCGAGCTTGGGACCCGTGAACCGGGTCCGGGTCCTCAAGAACTCGAGCAAGGTGATGGAAGGATCGACCTTGGCGAGCTCGAAGCGCTCCCCGTTGACGGCGAACACCAGCTTCCGCTCCATCTCGTCCGCCGCAGCACCCACAGAGCTCCATATCGCCACCGCATTTTATAGTGGTGGAAGATGCTCTGACCGCCAGCGCAGGATGGATGCCCGTTGAATCCAAGCAAGCAATCGACAAAGAATAATTATTGATGTCATTTTCCTGCGAGGCGGCGGTGGAACGCTTCGTTGGATCCTTCAATCTATGCCACTGCAAAAGGAGTCTTGTAGCTGAATTTTAAATTAAATATTATACTTAATAAGAAACCTTTTTCTTTTTTTCATATTAATCAAACACATTTATCACCGGAGTAATATTTGTTTACCGATCTAATTTTTATTATAATATTTTTAAATAAGCTTATGATATTTTTTCTAAAAATATTAAAAATATAATATTTTACATACAAAATCTATCTTTTGTATAAAAGTTTATTAATTTTAAATACATTTATAATATTTTAATTTACACGTATAAATCTTTATTTATATATATATAGTCAAATATATATGTATATGTATATATATATTTTGTCAAAAAGAATATAACAACTAACTAACGTTTTAGGGAAGTAATAAAAAACCCCAAAAAATAAAAAAATGATTTTTTTTTCCTTACAAAATTTTCCTATTATATTCTAAAATAATATTTATCGGCTATCGCAATAAATAAAATTTTTTCCACATATGATTGAGATATTTTTTAATTAAATATCAATATCATATTAATTAAATCATGTACTTGTTATAGGCCCATGTCATTTTAACCTACTTCTAATTATTTATTAAAATAAACATATTTTTCTAATGCATGTATTCCCAACATTGTGATATATAGCGGTATTACTGAATTATAAGTAAACAATTATAAATTTTATTTATAGGAATTTATTGTGCGGATATTATAAGTATGCCCTCAATTTTTGTCTTAAGATATGGTTAAGATATCACAAAAGAATGCTCTATATGCATAGATTATAGGTAGAAGGTAGTGTATGGTAGCCTCAATTCCCAAATATTAAATGTTAAAGATATATATACTCTTTCAACTAACATTCATAAAATAATAACTAAGCTAAAAATTAAAAAAGTATATATATATTAAAGATAAAATAATTTAAAAGATAAAAGTAAGATTACACAAAAGGCTAAGAGTTGCTTGTAGTGTAAGATAAAAATAATATCAACTAATTTAATCGATAAAAAAATTTAATATCTTATTTTTATCATTTATCCCTAAGAAGAAAAACTCTGTATGTCGTCGTCAAGCAGGCAATTCTTGCCGGCCTCAAAGGCAAACCAGCTGGTCTTATCATTAGCGTCCAACAGACGGATTACTTTTTCTCTGATCTCTCCTCCTCTGGTTTTCTTTGTCATATCGTCATCCGAAATAGAAATGAACACACTTTCCATTCTGCTCGTCTCACGGGTGACCTCAGTCAGCTGCTCCCCTTGCACAAAATGACAAACAAGTCAATGCTGATACACTGTAGAAGATCACGTCAAGAAATATTCGATGAGAGAAGAAGAAGAAGAAGAAGAAGAAGAAGAAGAAGAAATGGGAATACTCACAGGCTGAATTTTCTTGTTGCTTCTCTAGAGAAGAAAATGGTGGCGTAAGTTTCTTGATGGATCCACACGATGTAAGAGTGGTTGAAGAGAAGTCGTCAGTACTTAGATCTAGTCTTCTTTTCAATGTCCGAGGAGCCACTTCATCGTGGAGCACATGCATTAGGATATAAAACAATAATGTCAGAGTCCTTTCTTTTCTTTCGTACAAAGACTGAGTCAAAATAGGAGGCGGCTTGAAGTTAAAAGATATCCTAAGAACATATCTTACAATTATAAATAAAAAAAAATAAGTAAAAAAATAATAGAAGATAAGAACAATCATCGAAGACAACGATGACTACAGCAAGGAGAAAGCTACAGCAATATAGAAAGCTATAATAGAGGAAGAAGCCATAGCATAGGAAAAAATTGTAATAAGGAAGGAAGCTGCAATAAAGGAAAAAACTATAGCGATGTTATAGTGATGCTACAGCAGAATCAATGAGGTGAGAGGTGGGTGACTGCGATGGCTTGAGTTTGTGCACGCAATGGCGATCCACACAGTGCTGTGTGTGGCACGGCTATACGTATACGCGAAGGAGAACGCATCGAACCGCTGAGTCCTGACGTGCAGACTGTTGAGGGCACAGGCGTTCTCTTCGTTCTCCTTAAGTCCGTCGACTGTTAATAGATCAACGAAGACTACTACGGTGAGGAAGATGAGGATTGACTATGGAGCCTCTTAGGAATGTGGCTACAGTGACGTTGGTCACTAGCCGAAGACAGGAGCGAAGCTTCGCTTTTCTCACTGCTTTGATACCATGTTGAAAAGAATAGAATATAAGAAGAATTATTAAAGAAGTTTTTTTGTGTTCACATGTCCCTCTTCTATTTATACAATAAATATAAGTTAGAAGAAAAAGATTTTCTTAATAAAAGATTTTAATAGAGTAGAGAGATTTCCTCGAGGAAATCTTATAGTTCATCGAGTTGAGGAGATAATATCTTAAAGACACCAATATACATGAGTTAAATAAGATCAGCAAGAAATGTTGAATGATGCGCCAATATATTTTGGAGACAGCGATACTAGCAATCATGTCTTCAATGGCTCCATTGCATTTGGAAAAGTCTACTTTGAGATCATTCACAACATCTCCTTTTCGTACTAACTGGAAAAGCAAGGACGCAGTAGAAGCCAGACCAGGATGGCAGCACAAGCTAAGCCCACCCAAGAACCTGGATGTGCTGCTGCTGCTGCAATGCTTCGGCCCAGCCTCCCACTGTGGAACAAACAGAAATGGAGGAGATGGAATCATCAGCTATTTATTGAAATCAATGGCGCAATAGAATGGGATTGGCATGCTGCATGAGCTGCAAACTGGCACTCGACTTACTCGACAGCCTCTCTCATATGATCCTGTCAGCCAGCGACGGCAGGCGGCGGTAGAAGTTGACGGCCGCTGGCGGCAGGCGGTCCCGGAACATGGGATGCCGCAGGTAGTAGAACCCCGCCGCCACCACCGCCATCCTCGCCGGCACGACGTACAGTGCCACCGCCAACAAGAAGCACAGAGCCACGAACATTCCTGTCGCCCGCGGGTCCCTCCACGTCACCAGCGCCTGCACCCGCTCCACCTGCGCCGCCACGTCCCCCAGCATCGCCTGGAACCTCGCTGCCACCCCTCGCATCCGGTCGTACCGCGCCCGCACCACCTCCGGCCCCCGCGCGCTCGGCACCGGGTCGAACTCCTCGTCCAGCTCTTCCCGCTCCACCGCCTCCGCCTGCGACGCCCTCAGGCACGGGTGCGGCACCGGACCCCGCGCCCGCCGCCGGTACCTCCACGCCCCGACCACCGCCACGTGGACCGCCACCGTCGGCGCCGCCAGTTCCGGGAACCACACCAGCAGCACCAGCACCCCGTGGACCAGCAGGGTGGTCGTTGCGTTCCGCCACGCCCTCGTGTCCTCGACCCACCTGGCCACGTCGGCCACCCACGAGAGCGCCGCCACGATCCGGTACCAGTTGGCGCGGACCCGCCGCATGCTGTACCCGCGCGGTTCCGCCGCCGGATCCAGCACCCAGAGCGCCACCTCCCGCTGCAGCGACGGCTCCGACCTCCCCAGGTGCGCCGCCACGATCCGCGCTGCCGCGAGGCGGAGCGGCTCCCGTTGCGCCGCCGGGATCGGTCGAAGGTGGTGCATCGCCGGCAGCATCGGCTGGCCGTACACGTGGAGAAGGTCCAGAGCGGACCCGGCGCGGGAGAAGCGCACGGCGAGCTCGATCTCCCCCATCCGCTTCACCCCGGAGGGCAGCAGCATCACTAGCGGATAGGATCCGCGGTAGATCCGATTCGTCTCCAGCGTGGAGAGCCGGATCCGCACCTTCCCCATCGGGCGCGACGTGGCGTCCTTTCCATCGTCCGATTGGTCGAAAACGGCCACAGTGAGGACGGTGCATGGATCATAGACGGGCCACGTGTACTGCTCGTTCCAGGCCGGGTCGAAGCTGTTCGCAGCGGTGCGGGTCCGCGCCCACTTGGGCCCGTACTTGGCGACTGCGTACGCATCGGTAGTCCCCTTTCCGTCGACAGTCCGCACGGGGAGTAGGCCCCTGCACCCGATGATCCCGACCTCGACGACGCCCACCGGTGATCGCCACAGCTGCCGCGCCGACGGCCGGTAGTCGCTCTCGGCGTGCTGCGGCTCGTCGGACACGTGGTATCCACCGTCGAAGCACACCCGCACGTGCAACCGGCCCCCGTGGACGGGCCTCCGCCCCTTCTTCGCCTGCGCTTCTTCGGAAGTGGGCAGCAGGTCGAGCCACCTAGAGGCGACCTTGCGGTCGTCCACGCGGCGCTCGATGGTGGAGAGCAGGATGGAACCGGACCCGAGCACGATGGCGTCCTTCCCGTGGCGGAGCTCGAGGGAAATGACCAGCTTCTGATCCTCACCGAAGGGCTCGGCCTCCACGAAGAGGAGATCCTCATTCCACGACGGCGGCGCGCCATTACGGCTAACGGCGTTTCGCGTCTTCAACACCTGGAACCCAAGCGCTGCCCTGACGTAGACGGCGTGTTCCTTGATGGACGACGTCACAGTGTCCTGGGCCTCGATGACGGTGGCACGGATGTACCAGAGTTTGGGGGAGACGTAGACCTTGGAGTGGGAGCCGGCGTGGCTCGTCGGGGCGTCGGCCTTCCACGCGTGGGGGAAGGAATCGTCCGCCTGTGTGCCGACCCATGAGGCGAGCATTAGGTCGCCGCCGCGGCCGCGGCCGCCCTCGAGGCGGTACCACTGCGGGGCCAGCGGGCTGTCGGGAGGATCCCGCAGTGGGACCTCTGCGACGTCAAATCGCACTCCGCCCAGGAAGTGCTCCTCCTCCTCGTCGTTGAGATCGGAGAACGGGGGGAGATCCCACACGGAGATTTCGAGGGCGGATGGGTCAGCCGCGGCGGCGGAGGCGTCGCGCACGAAGGCGAATGTCTGGTTCCACTCGAAGAAGACCGATCGCCGAGCGGTTCTTGTGCTGACGTGGCGACCGTAGGCGGCCACCCGGACGTGAGGTTTCGCGTTGCCGGGAAGCTTCCGGGCCCGGACGACGCGGACGAACAGATACTGCATCTTGTCCACGAGGTCGTACTTACTGCGCTCCATGGCCTCCGGGGTTCGCGCCGGCGGCGCCATTTGTCGGGGCTGGGGGACCCAGTTCGGGGTGGACTCCTTCTCCGGTTCCGGTGGCGGAGGCGGAGCTTCCGTGCTAGGCTCCGGCAGAGGTGATGGATTCGCTTCGGCCGTCTCCGCTGGATTCCCCGTGCCGCCATTCTCCGTCACTGGAGGTGGAGCGTCGGATTCCTTTGGCTTCTCGGTATCTGCTGCACCTACCGGTGGCTCCTCTGGTGGTGGCGGCGGCGGCGGCGACTTTTCTGATTCCGGCGCGGCTGTATCGGGAGCTTGCTCAGCAGCCTCCGTCGGCTGCACCGTCACCGGTGCTTCCGTCTTTCCGGCATCCATGTTAACAGCCTCAGCCGGGGGCGGTCGCTCGTCCGACTTTGGTGCGGCCTCACTCGGCGGCGCGGGCGGTTTCGGTTCGGGAACCGGTTCGTCAACGTAATACACTTTTAGGTAGATGTCGCCCCGGACCCAGCTGAAGAAGCTCTTCTTCTCCACCGGGAAGCTCTCGACGGCCTCCTCCCCCTTCTTCACCACCTTCCTCGAGTCAATCCGCACCCGCCCAAGAAAATTGTTCCTCCGGCTCGGCCCGACCCTCCGGTCGTGGTACACCTCGACCTCAACTGGCTCTCCGGCGTCGTCGACGGGGCCGATGACATTGAACTCGAGGGCCTCGTTCCACGTGGGGCTGAGATTGCGCAGTACCGTCTGCGTCTTCCTCCGCTGCCCGTCGAAGTCGACGACCACGTACGGGCTCGACGTTCCCATGCCATCCTTTGGAAGTAGATCGTGAGCTTCCATCACCTCCACTACGAGCTTCCTGGCCATGGAGGCCATTACCACTAGATTCCAACTAAGTGCTCGAGCACTCTACCACCGTAAACATCTCGCTCCTGCCTGAGACCGCATACGAGGATCACTGCCTGATATATAGCAGTGGGAAAGGGAAGGTCGATTAACAGCATGCAACAAGCAAGAAGGGGAGAGGATGCTTAACTTCACATGCAAGGAGGCCTTCTAATCTATTTCCTCATCATCATCTTTTTTGCCAGGGAGATTCCCCATCTTCTGTGTGTGTGTGGCACAACGCTTCACCCATCCCCCTCTCTCCCTCTCCCTCTCTCTCTCTCGATCGAGCGTGATGGGCATCAAAAGGGCAGCAGAAAGAGCCGAAAGTTGCTTTAATCTTCACCGACCAAGTTCTTGTCCTCATTCCGGCGGTCCCATGCTTTGACACGCGCCTTCCGGGTGCCGGCTGATGGTGGATGGCCATGGCTATTCCTGGCGGTGTTGCTTTAATGGTAGTGCTGCTTTGGAAAAGAGAAGGGAGGTGCTTTTGACTCGGGAGGATGCGGTAGAGCTTAAAGTACTACACTTTTCCTTATTCCGTAGGAGATTGAGGAGGAGTAATTCTCGGTGGGGATTGTTATATATTGTGGGCGGGAGAAACCTTGAAATTAAAGTAAAAAATTAACAGATTAGTAAATAAAAATATATTAAATGATTGACAAGGTTTATATCGTTTGATGCTCGTCGTTTATATTCACGAATTAAAAATTAAACTTTATAAAAAATATATAACTCTTTAAAGTTGAATTAACTAATCCTTTTACGTAAATCTTTAAGGATTTGCTCTTAATATTCTTCTAAAATTACTTTTAAGTATTTTTTTCTTCTCTCATCAAAATTTTAAGATATATAATATATTTTATAATAATAAATTTTATTTTAATAGTCTATTTATTTAATTCATAATTATAATCTTATAAAAAAATTAGGATGGGTCTTTTGTCATGAGAATAAAATTAAAATTATCACGAGTTTAATTGGTTAATTGGTTTATCAATTTTTCTTAGCCTAAATTACTGATTAAAATATTTAGACTAAAATTAATAATAATATACTTATTAAATTCTTATAATATAATCTTAATCTTATTCACTTTTCATATCAGACTAATCGAAATATTATAATTTTTTCAACTCAAGAGTTTGATATCCTCGTTAAGGTCTAACATAATTCAAATCAAACCCTAGTATGATATGAGTCGTCTAACTCCATCCACGGATAGTCATTTTCTACTTGAGCCCTCTCATCATACTTAAATATTATGTCAACTTTAATACCATATATCATGATCTAAGTTTAATGGGTTAATTGGCTTATCAACTTCGTTTGACACAAACCATTAACCATAATATTTAAACTAAAATTGATAGTAATATAATTATCATATCTTTATAGGTCAATTTAGTCTTATACACTTCTTGTTAGTTATAAGTGTCATACAAACCATGAGTGATGACACCTATGACATGTTGTGATAATCTCTTTACTTATTATTACTGACATTATTATCACATATTATCTAGATATATATTGTGATATCCTTCTATCTATATAATAATGAGAATTGGATCGTGATGATATAATGATAATAAGATCGATTTGCCTATAAACATAAAGCCTAAATCATCTCGGTCATAGGTTACTCGAAAAGAACATCGAGATAATCGAATAGACCGGTGCGTTGTATACTCGTCCATATGATGGAGGCAACTGGTCTTATAGTCACTCATGTGGTGATATTAGAGATACAATGCAGGTACTTATTGAAAAAAAAGTTCACTGATTGATTCATTTACGAAATGTTGGATGGTTAATGATACATGATGTTAAATAACGATTTCATAGTCATAGTTATGTGTTTGGTCATTAGATTTAAGATACCAAAGATATTTTGTATGAGTACTTCGATGCCGGACTTATAGGTTTGGAAGTTATAGATCTGACACAATCAGTTCTCAGGAATGACAACCAACCTTACAAAGGTAATCGAGTATCAACAGACAATCATCCACTCTTGGTATCACGAGAGGAATATCCCATATGTGCTCGCTCAAACAAAATCCTTAGCTAGGGTCATTCGGATTGAGAGAGAAATTTTTTAGGAGAATCTAATTAGAACAAGACTTGGATATGATTCCGTATGGGCTTGATGTTACTACTATAGAGAAATCTAGGGGCAACATCACATGCGCAGTAGAAGAACAAAAATAAATAAAAATATCAAATTTTCTAAAAAGTGTTCATCGTCGTGCGAAAATTGGTATGCAAAAACCCACAAAACTGAAAACCATATATGAGATAGCTATGTTACTAAGGATATCGTATATCCTTGAATTCCTACATATATGTGGGAAAGGATAAAAGAAAAAAGATTATATATCATAAAGTAATATAAAGTAAAAAAACATCATAATAGTAATAAGGAAAAAGATTATATATCATGTTATATGTGTCATCACTCACGTGATTGGCTTGCAGGGCATATATGACTAGTAACTATGCCCAATATACAAGTCTTTGGGATATTAGATGGATGAGAGACCATAACTACATAGTAACTAAGGATAAATATGTCCGATGGATTATATCTCATATACCATTTGGGGACTATGACATAATGATATAGTACGTCCATAGTCGATGAGTTGAGTAAATTGTCATGGAGATAATAATTCAACATATGAGAAGGAGTTCTTACCAGATGGATGTTGCGACGAATAGAGGTGCGGATATGAGATATCCAATTAGATAATTGGATACAGATTCAATATCCAATATGGATATTATCTATTAATGGTTAAGCAGCTTATACTTCTATAAATAAAAGGAACCTCATGGTTCATAGGCTAAAATTTCTAGTGATCGCCCCTCCTATTTTCCTCAACCTCCTCTCCTCCTTGGCTTTGGTAGCCTTGTGGTGCACGTGGAGACAAGATCCCATAGTGATATGAGGAGCATCATCGCTACGTTTACCGTGTGGATTAGCACTAGAGAGGAGTATGCGAGTTCTACTTCATCTACTCCATCGAATCTAAAAATATCAGGGATACACGATCTCCTTATGTAATACTTCTCACATGTGTAGTTTTTGGTTTTATGATTTTCTATTGCATCAATTGTCATATAATGATCAAGTAGTTGACTTTGGAAAATCTAGTTTTATTTTTATTTTTCGTTGTGAATTCGTAATTTTTCAACACTTCTAACGTGATACTAATCAAAATATTATAAAAATACATAATATTTTGCCTAAAAACTGTCATATGTTTAGTAAGAAACGTGATTGGCATTAAAAAAAATCATAGATCATAAAAAAATTATTGAAAAGATGAATATGCACTTCAAAAATAAAACCTCTATTTCATTTATCTCCTCTTTTTTTTCAAATTACATTGTCTCCTAAATATAGAGGGTCTAACGAGAACTTTGTCTTCAACGGGAACAAATAACTCTTGAATTGAAATAACCTATCTAATAACAAAATTTAAGTTTATATTTCATGCAGTATTTTGTTTGTTTTGAGAGAACAAGAAAGAAGTGTGGCCTACATGTAGTGTATCACGTTCCTCACTCTACTACCCTCTGTAGGAGAAGCAGTGAAGAGATCGTAGAAGCCATCTCTTCTCTAATGTCCAAGGAGAAAATGAACTTTCTGGATGTTGTTGGATCTGACTTCATTTCAAACACCACCTTCTGCAGTGAAGGTTTGTACGTGATGGGGAGAAGACTGTGTAGTATAGTGACCAACAGGTGATTTTTGACAACTCAAAGTAGGAAGACAAATGCCATGGTGAAACTGTGCGGTGTATATGTTCTTTACGTGGGTTAGGAACAGGTAAACCCTCGTTTGTCGGTTGTCAGGTAGGGTTAGGAAAGAACGGGAAGCAGTTTATTATATGGTGTAAAGAATACGGTGGAAAGAAGATTTGATTGGACGGATACAAAGCAAGTATGCAAAAGCCAGGGGGAATACATTGTTTTCACTGTTCGGTATATGCTCTACGGGGGAGTGAGGATTCTGAGCTTTTACAGGCTGCCTTTGCGGAAAGAACGGGGAGAAGATAAAATTGAAGTTTCAGTGAGATCGGAAGCATAAATAATTGTGGACTTATATAGCTTGAGCAAATGGACACCTTAATCATAATTGTGAAACCATGTTAGTAGTAATTAAAATCTACTTCCATGGCACATCATTAATTCCAAAAAAAAGGAGAATTATGGTGAGTCCAATAAGCTTCATGATATATATATATATATATATATCTTTGTACTGTCTTACATTTAAAAAATTTATATTTTAATCTCTATAATTCTAAAAATAAATAAATAACACCATATACAAAAGTGATATATAAAAAAATAATTTCAACATTCTATATATGGAAGCGATATTGAAATTATCGTTTTGCTATCATTTTTGTATTGATTCAGCACGTAATATCACCACGTGTTATGTTTTTCGTCAATGCAACTAATAACGTTATGACAAATGAGATTATTTGTTTAATTTTTAAAATTATATGGATATTAATATAAAATTTTTAAGTACAGAGATCATAATACTAATAGGATCCAAGTATAAGAAGCAATATATAATTAGTTAGAGAAAGAGAGAAAAACTATAAACTAAATTATTTTACTATCAACCAAAGAATAATCAAGAATGCTTACTACCTCACAAGAAGTTGAGCATTATGTCTTTTGGATCAAACCTAAGAATTGTGAACTAAATAACACATCTCTTGCATGTCTATCATTTTCGTATCATATCATATATTATATTTTTTATCAATACAGTTAATGATATCATAGTAAATATGATTATTTTATTACGTACCAAAAGAATAATCAAGAATGCTTACTATTCTGCCTAAGGAATGTGAACCAAATAGCACATCTCATGCGTGCGAATGCAGTTATTCTCCTAACCCTGTCGATGCGATTCATTCATTCTGCTATTCTAGGAGGACCGATAGGCTCCCGCTCGTAGCTCTCATTCCTTGTTCTTGTAGGCCTTCCACCTGCTCTAGTTTTAGCCATTACATTAAGTTTGCCCATACATGGAGGTAATCATCACATCCAAGCAAAACGAAATGCTTCAAGTTCTAATCCTATCAGTTAAGCTACCAAAGCCACATCCATTTAAGGGTGAAATCTGTCTGTCTTCCAACTCCATTCTCCGAGGCCAAAGAAACCACTCCAATGGAAAAATCCTACGAAGTGTTCACTCCATCTTTCGAATGGATTCGAGGAAAGGCCGCCGACACTCTCCGCGTTCGTCTCCAAGGTAATCAAGTCCATCCTCCCCATCGTGAAGAGCGCAGTTTCATGGCTGTGAGCTGTTCTTGATGTTGCAGGATTCGAGAAGAATCAGATCAAGGTGCAAGCTGACAACGAGGGCGGCCTGAGGATCACCGGTGAACGACCACTAGGTGGGAATCGATGGAGCAGACTGTGGCAGGACTTCGCAGTGCCCGAGGACTGCAATGTCGAAGCCATGCAAGCTAAGTTCCAGGAGGAGACTCTCTGGGTTACTCTCCCAAAGCGCGAAGCGCAGAAGGGGAAGGAGTTGCTGTTGAATGCGGCTGTGGCCGTCCTGGTGTTTCTTGGTCTTGCGCTGTATCATGTGAGGGAGATGTGGACTAAGAGATCAAGCTAGAGCTGATGTCCTTGATTCAAGAATAATGATCGTCAACGATGCATGCATGGTATGCATACATTCGTATGTGTGTGTGTGCGTATATATATATATATATATATATATATATATATATATATATATATAGTAGTAGTAGTACGTACGTACG